TATATCAATACTTCAAAACATAAAAAAATAAATTATTATTATTATTACTACTAATATAATAGATAAATAAAATGGTATAGAAATTCCATATTTACATTAGCATAAAAAGTAATTATTTGTATATTATAAATTATTATAACTACAAATTTATATGTATAAATTATAGTAATTATGAGTTTAATTGAAAATTTGAAATCATAACTGCAAAAAAATGTATCGTAATTAATAAATTATTAGATAACTCACTCTTTTCAGTGCAAACTGCTCAATCTGATTGTTCTTGCGTTTAAAAAGCCTCTGGACATCTCGGAAAACAGCTTTGGCTCCCTCTAGATCACCAGAAGCCCCCTGACATACTTTGGGTTGAGATGTAAAAGGTTTTAATAAAACGGTTATTTTAAAGAGACGTTAAAAAGAGTTTGAGAGAGAACATAATCTGACCTCCAGTGAGGTAAGCATAGTAACACTGTGACCATCGGGATTCATTCTTCAGCCGCTCAAAAGACCTGTAGGCATCTTCAAAGTTCATCTCTATCATGCTGCACCAGCCTGCAAATCCAGAACAAATGCAACAACAAATTAAATCATACATCATACACTGAATTTTTAATTGTTTGGAAAGTATACGATTAACTGCATACGTTTCTCTAATTGCCAGGCCAAAATTCAATCAAACTGGACAAAATATTTAATAAATGACTGTACTAAAAAGTAAGACAACTACAGATTTGTACCAATTTCATAGAGGCACACGTGTTGAATCTCTCTTTGGTCTGAGGAGAACTCCAGAGCATCCTGAAATGACGCCAGCGCACTGTTGATTTGGCACTGAAAAAGAAAAAAAAGATTAATTATAATGTGTCTCTGGCCTGTGTTAACGGGTTTTAGTGGTTTTGAAACCGTGACATTTTCAAACCGTGGTATACCTTGAAACCGATAATCGGCCCATGCCTACATCCAGCATGACATTTGTTTTTCTCTAGTGTAATATACATTACACATTGTAGTCGGTGTATAATTTGTATTGGAGATGATTGATATTAATGGTTGGCTTTGGATACCTTCCATTGCGTCTAACACACTCGCTACATGAAGAAAGTCATTGTGGTGGTTGCATAGTAATTAAATATCAGTGAAGCATAAACCGCATTATTATTTCAATGATTTAATCACGCCAGTCGATTATCAAGCACCAAGCATCTGGTTTCATTTCACCGTCAATGTGATACCGTGTTGTAAAATCCCTACATACCCACCTCTAATCTCTGCACCCGTCCCTTGAAGAAGATGAAGAGAGAGGAGTTTGGGTAAACCATCGCCTTCTTCTGCAGAATGGCTTTGGCCTCCAGGAGCCCGGCACGCGAGTCAGAGCCGTCCAGAGCAAAGAAGGGCTGCACCACGGTGTGGTACCACAAAAGAGCCAAACTGAGAGAGAAACGAGAGAAAAGGCGGCAAAGATAAATATAATAACACAGTTTGCATGTTTATTAGTTGTGCTTGGTTATATATTTGCTGTGTACAAACTGCTACAGCAGCACTGATAAAAAAAAAAAAAAGCAGCATCTTTCCATCTGAATAACAAATTGGGAGCGTTTTGTCCCGGGCTGGATTAAGTATGCTTAAATTCATCTCTATTATTAGAGCTGCTGTGCAATCTGTCAGCCTCTGGCAAGCAACTGCCAAGAACAATGTGTCCAAAGAGAGCTGAAAGAATGGTTTTCAAACTATGAAGTTAAAGAAAAATCTCTGAAATAATCAAAATGGACTAGATATTTATATTTTATGAAGAAAATATGAATAGTATTTGAAAGTACTAAATTTGCCATAATGTTAGTGTGTTCTGGGTGGTTGCTAGGCTCTTGTGGATGGTTTCCAGGGCATTGCTATGTGGTACTACATTGTTCGGCTCTTGCTAGTGTGTTCTGGCTGGTTGCTAGGCTGTTGCTAAGGTGTTCTGGCGGTTGCTAGGTGGTTGATAAAGTGTTATGGTGCAATAATGCTAGGGATGGTTTCCAGGGTGTTGCTATGTGGTAGCTACCATAGGCGTAGCTTGACGTTTGAGTTTGGGGGGGCCAAACCGAACCGGTGGATTTGGTCAGACGTACTTTTAAACACATTTTAGTTTTGCTATAGTAAATCTACATATTCACATAGAGCAGTGGCAAGTGCCTGAGGTTGTCATGGTAACCACATACATTGCCCACGAATTACAGCTGCGCTACTATTTTGCCACACTAAACTTAGCAATAAACACGTTTAAAATGGCCACAAGCTACGCCCATGGTAGCTACATTGTTTGGGTGATTGCTAAGCTGTTGCTAGGATGTTCTGGGTGGTTGCTAGGCTGTTGCTAGGTTGTTGATAAAGTGTTATGGATGGTCTTGATCCCAATGTTTCTGTGTTGTGGATTGTTTCGAGGGCATTGTTATGTGGTAGCTAGATTGTTTGGGTGGTTGCTAGGCTCTTGTGGATTGTTTCTAGGGCATTGCTATGCAGTACTAGATTGTTCGGCTCTTGCTAGAGGTGGTTGTTCTGTTCTGTTCTAGGTGGATTCTAGGCTGTTGCTAGGTTGTTGATAAGGTATTATAGATGGTCTCAATGTCAATAATGCTAGGGTGTTGTCGATGGTTGCTAGGTGGTTGCTCCATGATAGACCTCTCCAAATATGCAATATGGCAAATTCGAACTTCAACATAAGTATATGTTTTTTTTTGTCTGACAATCAGGGGTTATGGTGTGTGCACATCAAACGCAAAGCGAATATTCTCATGGCGTTATCGCTCTAGATTACACTCGGGATGTTTTTGAGTCACTTTTGCTAATACAATCATCACGTAATGCTCTCCTTAATTTTCTGATACAACTGAATGTGTCAATAAGCTCTTCGCTGATTGGCTTGCACCTCAATGCATCATGCGAATTTTCCGCTTGAGTTGAAATTTTTCAACTTTCAAGAACAATCAATTTTTCAAGCCGTATATTGCTCATTCGAGGCAATCACGTCACCTAAATCGTGTCATTTGCGTCTAATCACATCTTTGCATTGACTCTGAATGTAATCTACTCGTGCAAATAATTAAATTTCGCTTTTGGTGTGCACACGCTAATTAGTCTAAACCAGCTTGCAGCTGAACAGTTTCGCATATGAAAAATTCCCACTTAACACGGGATTCGATCCAACAACCTTGTGATTAAATGCCTAAAGCTCTACTGACTGAGCAAGCGGCACAAAATGCACATTTTCCTATAATGAAAGTTTTCTTGTTCAATTCTGTGTTAGCATTTGCTTGCCCATGCTCACATGACCTTTCCATCTAATGCCCTTTATCTCTAATTGTGACCTTTCAGATGCCATCAATTATGTAACCCCAGAATGAAACCAGTTGGGCATGTGGCAGCGTGCGTTTGCACATCAGCAGCGAGGGGTTTTCTTCTGACGTATGAGCGCTAAACATTTCCGCAAATGCTAATAATTTAGCCTAAGCTAATGAGAAAATCAGGTCAAATGCTGGATTGATGTGCGAGAAGCAAAAAAACGTCAGCTTACGTGGCGAGCGGCGCCTTCATATCCTTGCTCTCGCTGGCGTATGCTAATGAGGCGAGACCTTGGTGACGGTCTCCGGGGAAGCCCAGCAGGTTGACGATCTTGAGCAGGTGTGGAGGCACCATCGAAATACACAAGTGAAAGAGCCCATAGCCAAAGCTGACCGAACCCTTCAGGCGGTCCAGAACCTCTTCTGTCACCCGGCCGCCGCTCTCGGCTGAGGTGTTGTGGTTGGCCTGATCAGAGACCAGCGCCCCCTGCTGGTCGGAGGAGCGGCGGCGCCAGACTTCCTGCAGCTGGCTGATGTCACTGTAGCATTTGTTGTACATTTTCCAGGCCTTGCGGAGAATCCAGCCTCCTTTGATGTATGCTGAGGGGCGACAGGCCATAATGACGTTAAATGAAAGAAAATGTTAAAACTATCATGCTTGAGTCTTTTCATGTTTTTAATGACAAGCTGAAACATTTTAAATAATTCAAACTTGTGTATACTTCAAATAATAAAAAAGTAAAATGTAAGTAAAAAATATATTACTATTAATATATAAAATATATTAACTCTCAAATACAAATATTTATTCTTTAATATAAATGAAAGAAATTCTATTATATACAATGAAAATGAAAAGCAAATAAAAAATTAAATAATTGTATAATTAAGCCTTTTAATATTTTTGGTGACAAGCTAAAAAAACGTAATAATCCAAATTTGTGCAAACTCAAAGTAACTTAAATTATTTTAAAATTGAAATGTAAAAAATCTTAATTTTCTTGATATTCATTTTCAAATAAAAATATAAAAATGAAAGAAATTCACATATACAATAAAAATAACAAAAAATAAATAAATGCATGATTGTCTCTTTCAATATTTTTGGTGACACGGAATCATTTTAAAAATCCAAATTTGTATATACTTTAATAAAAATAAAAATAAAAAATCATAATTTTCTTATTATTTTTTTAAATAAAAATATTAAATTACAGGAATTCAGTTATACACAAAATTTAAAACAAATAAAAACAATAAAAATAAATTTGTGTATACCTACAGTAATAAAAAAGTAAATAAAAATAATCATCATTTTCATAATATTATTAATACTAAATGCATTATGATTATTTTATTATTAATTAACAATTTAAAATACAAATATAAAATTAAAGAAATTCATTCATATTTTTAAAAAGTTAATTAAAATTAATCAAATAAAATATAATAATAATAATAATGATAAAATTAAAAATAAATTGAGGAAATCTAAAATTTATAAAATAAAAAAATTACACTGCTTAATGTTCTGTGGGGAACAAAAAGGAAAAATGTAAACATGACATCACACCTAAACTTCTCTCCCCTCTAATATTTAATAATAATAATATCATAATAATATCAAGTTTGTTTACTCCCCCCAACACAGTGGCATGCAAAAACATAAACATGTGGAATGCACCTGAGAGTTCCTGTTTGACGAAGGACAGCACGGCGAGATAAACCTGGCAGTCAGCCACGATGATCTGTCTCTGAAGACGATCCACAATCTCCACTCCTGATCTCTGCGAGTCCATCTGGGGCAAAGATAAAAACCAAGACATTAATGTGAGGAATCTGGCAAACAGATTCCGTGCGTCCTGCTGCCACACACTCGTACAAACAAACTCACGCTCTTCTTGATTTTGTTGCGGATGGTCTCGATGACGCCGGCGTTGTCGCTCTCGCAAAGCTTTTCAGTAGTTCTCAGATCGTCGCTGGCCATCTGCATTTTTTCCTCCTCGAATGTCATCATGGCGTTCTATGATCAGACAAATATTAGGGCTGCATGATATTGGAAAAAAACTGACATTGCAAGCGATATATATACTGCAATATGAAAAACACAGGATTTTTTACCAGATGACTTGAATAGCTATATTTGGAAAAAATTAATCATCCTAGAATGAGTGGGTGATTTTGTCGGGAAATGCATCTGCATGGAAAATAAAAATAACAACAAAAAAGCTAAAAAAATATATATTTTTTTTACTCTAAGGAATTTTTGGGAGTGTGAACCATACTTTTAGGGCTGAACAATTTTGGAAAGTTTTTTTTTTATTATTGTTTATGACCAATTTAATAGGAATACAAAATAAAAAATAAAAAAAACTATTTTATTGTGATTATTATTTAAAGTATAAAAGAAATCTTGAAATATACTTGTACTGTCAAATGTTAACAATTCAAATATTTAATAAAAATAACATGTAAATGAACAGTGCCGCACTTCCCTCTGAAACCATTTTTTGGACCAATTCAATAGGACTATGAAATAATAAAAATTTCATTTTATTGTGATTATTATTAAATTAAAATATAAAAAAACTGTAATATTCTTGTAATGTAAATTAAAATAAAAAAATGAAATGCTTAATAAAAATAATGTGAACACAGTGCCTAACTTCACTCTGAAACCAGTATTGCACATATTTACTTATTTAAAATCACAACCATACCGCAATATCAATTTTATGGCAATGTATCATGCAGCCCCATACTTGTTTATTTACTTTTATTCATTAAGCACATGGTTTAATCTAAACCAGCTTACAACTGAAGTTTCACACATTAACAAATTCCTGTTTAACACGGGATTCCTTTCCATAACAAGACTTTTATAAAACATGACGAAAAACGGTACTATTATTAAAGGAAGTCAGATGCAAAATACAGAACAGACGGGAAACAACCATTCCTAGCAGTGAAGACACAATGAGCCATCAATACTCAACAATGGCTATTATTTCTGCACAATTATATCTTCTATATTATGCCACTTTCTTATAGTATAATGTGTCTATTATTAGCTAAAGCTAAACCATGGCAACTACACTAGTGCTAAACAATAACCCAGACACCTCTGAAGGTCTTCTGGTAAAGAAATCCCTCACATTAGTGCTGACTAGCATCGGTCATGCCACGCCAAAGGCCCAAACCACATCATGCTGACACCACAATTCACATCCTGGGGCACCGGCCTTGACATAAGAGGTTGTGACAAGGTCTGTTCCTCAACTTTTGATGAGAAACTCAAAACAGTATACTGCATACTGCACAGTTTAAACTAAACACCTCCTACTGTTTCTGTAAATAGAATGTGAAACAGTACTTATTACACAACAATAAACATTTGGCCTTTTGGGTATTCCATGCACACTAAGCACTGTAAACATACTATATACTGCAGAAATAGAGTGCTATGCACTGTTCCACACATTACATTAAGGGCACTAAGATAAAACAAAAACATTTTCAAAAAAAAACATTTTCACTTCACGGAAAACAATATCCTGTAAATATAAGAAAATGTAAAATAAAAAAATAAAAAAAATGAATAACAATAAATTTAAACTTCCCTTCAGCCAAAAAAATCCTTTAAAAAAAAAAGAATAATTTAAAAATAAACTCTTTTGCTATTCTGTCATAAAATAAAATAAACAATTTCACTTCAGGGAAAAATTATCCTTTAAAAATGTAGAATAAACTTAAAAACATAAAAATATTTTTTCATTTATTCTACATTTTTAAAGGATCATTTTTCCCTGAAGAGGATTTTTTTTTTTTAATTGTTAATTTTATTTTATAGGAGAATAGCAATTGTTTGTTTTTTTTCCCTACATTTTATAGGAAATTTTTTCCATGAAGTGAAATTTAATTTCATGGGAGAATAGCCATTTTGTACAAAAATATATATATTTTACATTTTTGTAGAATATTTTTCCAGAAGTTACATTTTATTTTATTGTTATTTATTTCATTTATAATTTTTTTATTTGTTTGTTTGTTTATTTATTAAATAAAATATTTTTTCATATAAAGTAATAAAATAAAATAAGACAAAATAAAATAATTAACTATTAAATAAAATTTCACTTCAGGGAAATAAATATTCTATTAAATATAATAAAAATGTAGAATAAAATTTTAAAATACTTGCAATTCTCCTATCAAATTAAACAAAAATAAATAAATAAATAAACAAATTTATACATTTCATTTATGGGGGAAAACAATTCTATAAAAATGTAGAAAAAAATTACTATTCTATAAAGTAAAATTTCACTTCATGGAAAAATATCCTATAAAAATGTATAACAAAATGTAAAAAACACTTGCTATTCTCCTCTAAAATAAAATAAAATAAAAATCTTATTAAAAATGTCGAAAATTATTTGCTATCATGAACATCTCCGTTTCGTCTCTTTCTCGCCAATATTTCACTTCCTGTCCTCTCACTCCTATTAAAGGCTAGGATGAACGGAGAGCAGTGCTGCAGGAAACAGGACTGCGGTTGGAGTACGAATGAGAGCATTTGCTGACTGTGTAACATAACAGATATAACAGAGATAGACTAGTAATGATGGGCCGATGTCAAACTAATTACACTAGAAAACCACCTTGGGCTGCCCAGCTGATGTTACCACTACAGCTATTTGTGTTGTTTTTCCCAGCATGCCACTGTATGGTAGGGTTGGGTACCGAAACCTGGTACCAATTAGGCACCGGTACCTATGTAACCGGTATGTACTAGAACCGAATCCGAACGCAGATTTCGCTGCCTCATTTCGGTGCCATGCCTGAGTGATCGATTGAAATATTTGTCCTCTGGTTCTCCGAAACGGGCGTAATGGTAACCACTGGCACCGCACGTGAAAAATAATTTCCCGACTGAGAAAATGCACGTGAACTCAAGTGGGAAAGCTCTAATAATACAAATCCAACACATCTTTGTAGTAACGAGAGTGTCCATGTTGTTTTCACATTCCGACTTAAAGTTTCTCGGGAAATGAGAGCATTCGAGGAGAATGCAGTAATCACACTTGCTCTGATGGCAGCAGGTAGCCTTCCGTTAACTAAGCTAAACATGCTTAAATTAAAATGCCTAAAGCTAAACCTCCCTTGTATTCACATTTCTAAACCTGTTGTCCAACAAAAGAGAAAATTATAACCTTTTTACTCCACAACACCAGTCAAATGCTTCCTTTTGTGACCTGATGTATTTTGGGGGAATTTTTATTTATTTATTTTTTAATAAGTATCGGTTTAGGCACCGGAACCGTTTTAAAAGTATTGATTTGGCACCGGTATCGAAAAAAACCCAAACGATACCCAACCCTACTGTATGAGTGTAGATTCAAACCCTAAAAGGAGTTTCATGAACTACCGAGGCACTTTCAGTTCTTTAGGAAGCTGTTCTTGTGTCAAATGTACTGGAAGTACTAACTAAAAATCATTTAACGGAGTTCACTTACCAAGAAGCTGACGAAACTGGCGCCGAAGCTCATCAGCGGACTGTGGGTCCTGCAAACAGAATAGGGAATCATGGGATACTGCACTATAACACAAGTTTAGCCTCTGAAAAAAAAATATTCTAGAAGAAAAAAAATTCTAGAGATGTAAAAAAAAAAAAAAAGCTGTTAACTGAAAGTAAAATAAAAATTTGCCTTAAAATTTTATAAATATATGATTAAATATTATTAAATTAAACATTAAATATTATAATCTATAATACACTGTTATAATATATAATTAAATATTTTATACGTAAAATATTTAAAATTAAAATAAATATAAAAATGTAATATAGCTTTGTGAATGTTATGAAACTCTGTTCAGGCCTGCTCATAAGATTATATTTTGCATTAAACAAGGAATTACTGACATATAAAGCCAAAGCACTAAGCTCCTAATACCATTAAACTCAATACCCATAAATATCTGTATCCTTAAGAATGGTTTAAGTAGCAGTTTCCTCTGAAATATAAATCCTCAGGCTTTACGTATGAATTAGTAATATGTCTCTTCGGTTTAATGCAATATATGTGTTTTAAGGGGAAAAAATATATAATTTTAATTACTATTATTCATCTGTAAATCAGCAACAATTCAAAATGACACAAAAAAAAAGACTTTCCACTGGATTTTCCAGGTGACTCTTTTATTTTTATCTCTCTAATCTCATATAATGCACAATATAACCTCCATGTGTTTATATGATGATTATTGTGCACAGTTTGCACCCATGCCTAGGGCTACATGGACCAGGCAAATAGCCATTCATCTATACCCGTCATTATACTTATCTGTTGTCTGTGGTCTCACGAGAAGGACTGGCTGAATTGGGTACAATTCCCATTATTTCTACTGTGAGACCAATAAAATATGTTTGATAAACTATTTTGCAACATACAATTAATGTAACATGAAGTTTAAACCCATCAAAAGTCAGTATCCAACCTTGAAATGGGCATTTTGGCACGTTCACTTCCACCTCAGACCTTATTAACGGTATCCAACAATTAACTCATACAACTATTGACAATATAATCACCTCATTGAAATAAGAAGCTATTTTAAGTATTTACCAGTGTTATTTCACTATCATTGAGTAATTATAGTTTTATTAATATTTTGTGTTTGTGCATTTGTATATTTTCCCATGTTTATTTTAGCTAAAGTTTTAGTAATTTTGTTGTGTTAGGGTTAAAAATATATATATATTTATATAATTTGTGTTAATTTTTATTTCAGTTTTTGCTAATTTTAGTAAAAATTTTAACTAAAAATTCAAACTAGCTGAAATAAAGTTTAAGTTTTCTTATATTTTATTTAGTTCATGTTTATTTTAAGTAGCATTTTTTGATGGTTTTTATGATGGTTTTAAGACATGAACATCTTGGATGACGTGGGGGTGAGTAAATTATCAGGAAGTTTTTATTCTGGAAGTGAACTAATCCTTTAATTCAACAAGCATTTAACAGTCACATTACTTAACAGTTACCTTACTTAACGTCAGAATAAATTATCAAAAACAAATAGTTATTATATTCTAGTCCATCTGCAAACCAACATTTTGTCCTGAAATGGCTAGCACTCAAGTAATCCTAATTTAAGATAAATCAGTTACTTAATCTGACATTTGTATCTACTGAATAAAGAAATAAAATATTAAAAATTATTGCAACAGAAACAGAAAATAAAGAAAGGATATATTTGACTTTATTTTAAGCAATTAAATACCACACACATATTAATTATATTAATTTCTATCTATCTATCATCTATATATATATATATATATATATATATATATATAATTTATAACAGTTCAAATTGTATTGAGGCCGTGTCCCATATTGTGGTCATATACTGGAAACGAATAGAAATAAAAGCAGCGGGCCAAATTATGTGGCTCCCGTTTATGCAAACAAAAAAAGCCCATTTTATAATATACACGATTCTAAAATCATAGATGCACATGAATGTTACCGGTATCTCCTGAAGAGCTCGTCGCTTTCTCTGAAGCCATTATTGAGCAGCATATTGATGCCCTGAAACGCCAGCTCGGCGTCATCTATCTGCTCGGCTTTCTCTTCAACCTGCTGCTGCGGGGAATCGGGGCCTGCCATCCTCTCTGTTTACTCCTTTGTAGGCCAAAAAACTCGTTCTTCTGTAAATAAACCGCAGAGAAACAGTCGGGTTGTTTTGCGGTGAATAAACAACCAGCGGCGCGGCGCCGTGCGAAATCAAATGATCTTTCGCTTACCGATGGCCAGCAGCAGATCACTGGTGAAAATTGTCTGGATAGAGTTTCGATCCCTTCCGTGTCCGATCTGCGGTGCTAAGATGTTTTCAGATCCGCAACCGTCCCCTCCATCAGGCCGCCGTGAGCTGTGAAATATCAGCTGGCAGTTCGCATAGCAGCATCGCGCCAATATTAAAGGAGCAACAGAGCAGTGGCGTTATTGTCCCGTATCCGCTTCTCATTCACTCCACTGAGGTGTTATAGGTGACAGAGTCGATTCTGCTTTCAAACAGAAGCTTGACAGCTTCCTCTTGACTGTAACACGCCCTTTGCCTCCAACCAGGAAATGACTTTCACATTAACCCTTGCAGCTTCTCTGGCCTCAGCAGTAGGGATTTGGATTCATCATGAGTCGAATGTTTTGAATCGATTCACAAAAAGATTCGTTCATTGATTGGTTCGCTATGCCAGTAGGTGGCGAAGCGAGTGCCGTTGAGGTACTCACGAGTCGGTTACATTTCCGCCGTGGAATAAACAAAATTAAAAAAATAAAAAAAAAAGGTCATTGCGACTTTTTATCTCACAGTTCAGTCTTTTTTTTCTCAAAATGCTGAGTTTATATCTTACAATTCTTTGTTTATATCATAACGTGTTATATCATACATATATAATTGTTTATATCTTAATTCTCAGGGTCACCTTTATTTGACCCTCTAACTCTAGCACTTTCTATTCTATTTTAATTCTACTTTATCTATATTTATCTTCTTTTTTTATTTTTTTATTTAAAAAAACAAAAAACAACAAAAAAAACAAACACTAGCTTTCTATTTTTTCTATTCTATCTACTTGTTTTTCTTTGTGTGT